AAATCCATAAGTTGACACTAGGTCAACATTTGGATCACCCCTCGATTTGGGCTCCAATAGTTGACACCCCCCCCCCCCCCCCTTAAAAAGTTTTTGCCGGTTATTTAAGAGATAAAACAATAATAAATATGTATTACAATTTCAAACAATTGCACCCTTGATTACACCTATTCACTATTACTTGCCATCATTTTGAAAAAACTTGTGATGTCAAATCGATACATCAGATGTAGCACACAAGATGGCTCCAGTAGTTATAAGCTATTCGAGTTAAAACCTCTATAAATTCTTATTTTTTAGAATATTATGCTAATGTGCCAATTTTTGGAATCCTGTCAACAATGGGCTCTTTCACTAATTTTTGAAATTGGCATATTTGGATAAAGCAACTAAAAACAGAATTTTCTGTATTTTTACTTTTGAAAAATTCATAGTCCTTCTTTAGAAAACAGAAAAATAAGAAATACCTCCAAATAAAAACCCAGAATTTATTTCTATGACCTCGCAGCTCGCAATTTGACCGTGTTGCCACTAATTGTCAACATTGAAAATTTGTAATAGATTTAATTCTGAAATGTTGGAAAAATATCATGAAAAGTAGTTCAATTAATTAGTTATGGATTCAAGATTTTATAACATTTTTTTTGAAATTATGCTTAAACACAATTTAATACAATTTTTTATGTTTAGTTTTATTTATTTTTTTTACGTTGCACTACATTCAGTCACAACCGACAACAGCGCATTCGAACCTTGCTGTGCTTTTACAGAGCGCAACACAGTCGAGCCAGTCAGCTTCTCGCAACATGAGCGAAATGGAAAATATTTATGTGACGTCAGCGAATCGGCGCGTTTTAAATGATTTTGAATTTCGCTAATTTCAAATGCCTGTAAAAAAATTATTTAACCTTTTAGAACATTTTTTTGTGATATATATGTCTAAAATAGTCCCTCCTTTGGGATTTTATACTTAAATTACGTATTTAAATTTTAGTGAAAGAGCCCATTGGGCACTTTACCTTACTTGATATTTCAAGAAATCTTATCAACTCTCACTAATTTTTTCTTCCTATTGGAACACGCCAATGCTCAAAACTCCACTAGGAAATAAATACATAATTTTGTTCAAAATACTTTTCAACATTTTCCCATTACAAAATGTAGAATTTGACTACTATTTCGGGCAGTTTTACAGAAATTTAGAAAAATTGATGCGTACAGTAGGTATACTTCTGACACAAGTTCTGACATGTAGGTATATTCTCGCATATACAGGGTGTTCCCCAATATCATGTACAAATGGGAGGGAATTATTCTTTGGTTTATTTTATGACTAATTTTTTTTATAAACATAGGTCTGCAAACGCTTTGTTTCCGCTCTACAGGGTGTTCAAATTTTAATGTATTCATATTGGCTTATTTCTAGATTCCTCTTGAAAATGAACAAAAATATGGCAGCGGGACCTCTATTGACGCCACTGTAGGTAAAAAAAGTTTACTGAGTCACTGTAGTTTCATCTAGCTAATTACAGAAATTTGTTTTTTAATTTTTTTCTTGATAAGGTTTTGTGATACGAAAAAACTACAAGAGAACAAAAAGTTTCTAAATAAGGTAGAAAAATTATTTTGTTTTTCAGAATCTACCAGTGGCGCACCACAAAAAAGTTCAGGGGCAGAAAAGGGGGCATGACCCCTGAAGAAACATCACCCTGTAGATTCTGGCAAACGTTTGACATCATTTAGTTCCTATTGCGTAACCTATATTCCAAATTTGAGCTAAATCCCTCAAAAATTGCAGGAACTATAAAGAAAAAACTAAAAAAATATTGAAATTTCAACACCCTGTAGATCGGTAACGAAGCGTCTAGTAAAAGCGCACTTTTTTATAGTCTGTAATCTAAATTCCAACAAATTTTCACCTTTTTTGAGTGAAAGAGGGCACATTTCTTTATACTAAAAACACAAAAACTGCAATGTTGCATTAGTCCTTCGATTAGCCCAACAACACAAAAACATCTCATTCTCCAAGAACTCACTAGGAATTTCCCTGGATGTAAATGTATTTTCTAAATAGAAAGTTTGAAACACAAAGTTTGACACAAACACTTCAAACTGCGTTACCAGATTTTTACTAGACTTGTTCAATGTGCCCTACCTTGATTGGTTATGATATTATTCAGTTTTCTGTTCTCACTTTATGCATTCTATGTGTATTCCAATAAAATAAATACTTATACAAACCTACCAACATACATAGTGTAGCATTTGGTCGCAGTTTCCCATTATTAGGCGCAATCAATAAATTAGGTACATAACTAATTTATTTTCAGTAAAAGGAAATCCCGTTTCATGTAGGTCAGAAGACTGAGGGTAGGTAACTACTATCTTCACTCAGGGACTTCTTTCTTCATATAATTTATTTGTGTATTTGCCTCTTGTTATCCCCAATTTTATTCTTTTAGTAGTGTGAGCTAAATAATTCAAAATACCATATATGCAATTAATATTGTTTAATTTTTTTCTGGATAGTTATCACTTTAATCCTGCAGCAGCCTGTGATCAGAGGCTGGATGATAATTCTTGGTGAGTCTAGTTGATTGGTGTTTTGACATAAATTTAGACATTTAGTGATCCATTAAAATGTAAATATGGAATATTTCCAAATAAAAATTGCAAATTTATTAATTTAAAATTTTAGCATGTTAGATTTTAGATTTCTTAATAACTGAATATAAAATCTAGCATCACTGTAAGACTTATCATTTTCTTCTGATCTTAAAATACCTATACTTATAGATTTGTTTGAGAATGTGTTGTTTCATTTAATTTGCCTATTTTGCATGGCCTACACCAATGCCTGCCACATACCAACAAGGAACATTAAACTGTTAGGGTTTTCAACTAAAATTTAATTTGTTAATCTAATTAATGTTGATTTATTTAATGTTAATTTAGAGTATTTTAAGTCCTATCTGTCATAACAGGAGAATATACACAAAAGACGCTGGTGAGATGTAGAATAAGGTTACGGTACACAGCCTGTGAGGCACTTGACAGATACATCATAGACTCTGATCCCCTTTTAAATGTTCCAAAGACTTATTGTCGAGCTCAGTGTGTAGTCTATGGTAATCGTAAAAACACAATGTTCACGTTTTCTTACAAAAAAGTGGAAATTGAATTATCTCATAATATGGCTTAGCTTGGACTAAAAAATGACAAACGGTTGGATTGGAGAGTGTCGCGTTAAGTGTGTCCAAATATTTTGTTTTTCCCTGAGGGTTTTGTTCGAGGTTCTGCCTGAGAATGTTGGCATTGGTGCTGCTTATCATGCCTTCATCCAGTTAAAAATTAGGTACAGTTTCATATTTTGGGGGCACTCTGCTGAATTGGGGGGAATCTTAATTTTTCAGAGGAGATGTATTTGATCCAAGAGAGAGTTGCAGAAACTGAATACTGGACTCTTTTATGTTACTACATAATAACGGGGATATTTTTGGAGGTGAAACGATCAATCACGCGTATGAAACTAGAAATTTGAATTATTTGTTGAGCTACCTATATTCAGAAAAATGTGCATTACACTATTGTTAAAATTCAACAACAGTTTCCCAGTGAGTGTCTGAAACTTGGCAGGACCCAAGGCTAAAGAAATTATAAAGTCATATAGTAAATCATTGAATTAGTTTTTTAAATGATCGTGATAATTATATCGAATTCACATTAGATTCTGCTGAATTGTTGCATGAGAAGATATTTTGTGGGTTGGGATGGCTTGGCTTTATCAAGCGCGAATTGACAATAAGTCTATTTTTATTTGAAGTCCCTTCATAAAGTCTATAGACTCTTTTGAGTGCTTGATCTGTGATTTTGGACGCTGATTGGCCAAAATTAGGGGGTCGAATTGTGAGATCAGCGCTCAATTTAAACGATTAACCCAAGGCCCTAGTGAGGCCCCAAAATCTAGCCATTCAGAGTCCAAAATCTCAGATCACGCACCCAAAAAAGTCTATAGACTTCATGAATGGACTATAGTTCAGGTATCTTCGTTCATTTTGTCATTTATACCTTTTAATTTTTCTACATATACATGCCTAGTGATGTAAAATTCCCGAAACATTCAAAAGCCGCGAACATTCTCGGAAACTTTCCGGGAATATTGGAAACTTTGGGGAACTTATGAAAATATTGTTTTTTTTTTCAATTTATAGCTTAATCAGACAAATCGTAGTAAGCTTTATTTACCTATTATTGTAGTGTACTGACTATAGACTATAAACAGTATAAACCAATAAAAACACCTATTTTTTTCTGTAGGATCAGCTAAAAATTAAACTATGTAATAAAAACACTTTTAGGACGGTTGAATAAGGCTTTAAAGGAAAAGCTGATTCGAATAACCCAATCTCTCAGCTCTTTATTTTTTATCTTTCTTCAATGAAGATTATTTCATAAAAAGACAAACTGTAGGTACATCAGCTGGTGATCGGGTAAATCGGATTAGCGTTTCCGTAAAGAAAATTGGACTAGTCTACATAATCCACATAAGTTGAAATGACATCACTGAGACCTTGTATTCGCAATAATCTCGCATTTTTATAAAATTCTTCTGGAAAGTTCTTGGAAATATTCTCGAAAGTTCTCGGAAATATTCTTTTGAGAGTTTTTGATTAAAAGTTTCTGGGAATATTCTCATTCAGGAGAACGTTTCCATTTTTTATCGGTGAATATTCTCGGGAATTTCCCAATGTTCGCGAATATTCGCATGGGAATATTCTCGACTCACATCACTATACATGCCTGTGATATAACAAACGTTTAACTTTAAGTGTTATATGAATAAATAAACAATTGTCAGTCACACAGGAGTCCTATAACCTAATAAATGAATTCTTTGTATAATTTAAGTTGTTATCGCAGTCATAACAAAATTAATTGGAATTTGCTATTTAAATTTTTATAGGTACTTATTAGCCAAGCTTATTGTTTTATTTTTACAGGATAAACCAAAGTAATACCCAGAAATACACATCCAATCAAAATTACATGGTTATAGACCCCCAAGCCGCTTACCATCAGCCAACGACTTCAAATAATTATCCCCAACCCCCTCTGTTGCAGCATATGAATGGCACTATAGCAAGATATGAAGGTCCTTCATCAAGGTATGTTATATACTGTGAAAGGTTCAAGCCTCTACAAATCTTATTGCAGAAATATTGTGGTACAGTCGGTACAGACACACGTTTTCGTTTATAAATTCAGAACTGTTGGCCAGATAGTTATTGATACAGACAAATAATTTGATATTACTTACTTGTTCCTAAATCTGTCCAAAGGGCCCGCACAGAGGCAGTATGAAAGATGATTTTTCCTGTAGAAAATTTAGCGCCCTTGGTTTGCCTATTAATATAGCATATCTAAACTCATTCAGATTACAAATTATTGGTCACTATTGTTTTTATTAAATGAAGTAGGTACTAACTAATTTTCTTGTATTTGTTAAATTATTTAAACACTCTACAATTAAGCAAACTGTTTTGCGAAAATCATAGGTTGCTCTAACATCCTCTTTTGCCCTCTTCAGAAAAGGTTGAATTTGTATGATTCTGGTGAGTATTCTTTCTAGTGCCAAAGCTTGAGTTCTGTTGGCAGCCTTAAGATATCTGGCATAGAAAATTCTTGTAACTGCAGCAATGTTTATACAACATTCAAAAAATAATTGGGCTGACATACTTCTCATAGGCATTTTAATTATTTATCATGATTATTTGATGAAAATTGTAAAATAGCACAACTTGACGATGATATTAAACATGATCAGGGGTATGATTCCGACATATAGTATTCTAGTTTAATGAATCACGTCAAACCCCTTGCCATTATAGAAAACATAGTTTGACAATCTTCAAATTAATACTACCTATTATCGTTTTTTGACATTCCCTTCATTTTCTAACCTGAGAAAATAGATAATGTTTTGTTTCAAATTTTGCTATAAAATAGATTTCTTATTTTTAATATTTATTTATATTTTATAGTTTAATAGGTATTTCTTTTATTCAAGATGCTTCCTGCTCAAATTTCGGGTGCAACAGCCCCAAGAAATTCTGCAATATAATATTGAAAGAAGAATCATGAGACACAAAAGTGATCTATTTTCTCTAAGAGTTAGGCAATATATTGAGCTCTTCCAATTATCTAAAGATATGGTCAATTACAGTATCCGCCAAAATAAACAGTACTGAACATATAAATTATATCATTTATTAATTTGTATCATGCGTATATGTTCAAAAAATGCATCATAGCGACGCAAAAAAGCTTCATAACGATTCTGCAAATCACATAAAATATTTATTCAGAGTGGTTGCTTCAAACTTGAGCCTTTATTCCTTCCAAATCCGTATGACCGGAAATAATGCTCTACTAAGAAAATTGTTTCTTAAGTTGAAAGATACATAATGATGAAGATTTTAACCTTAACTTAATGTCAACCTCATAACTAATGCCAAGTAAGCGAAATACGATAAATGCAACTTGCGTGCGCAATTACTCATTTATTCCAAGAAATTATACCACATTATGTTAGATTGAACCGGATTGAACCTACTCACACTGTTTTTTTATGCATTAGGTTTTTATCAAAGAACAGTTGGGCAAACTATAAGCAAAAAAAGAGTAGGTAGTAGCTGTAGAATTTGTAATTTTTTTTGCTTGAAAACATTCTGCCATTTCAAGATAAACGAAATTTTTGTTTTTTTCTAAGGGTGTTTGTTTGGTTTCAGTAATTATACTCCAACAAACTCAGGAGTTAATCAAAACCCAGCTCATCAAGCATCATCTAGAGCACAAACCTCCGAGCGTCCTACTCTATTCAACAACGGAAAAAGTGTGTTAATGCCAAATCAGAATGCAACCGCTGATACTGCCGCAGCTGCAACTAGGAAATTAACTGTTATACCAGAATCTAGTCCTACTTCAAATACAGTGACGAACGTTCCATATAAAATGCAAAAAGCTCAAGTTCAAGGCAAAATGCTTAATTTAATAAACATGAAGGCATATGTTTACACTGACTATTTGGTGACACTTCAAGATTTGGTAACCAACTTTTTCATGGGTGTGACCGGGCAGAGCTCGCAGCAAGTACTGCAAGTTTTGGGCATTGAAGTATATAAGGCAAATGCGTAAGTACATTTTAGAAAATTAAGCTACATTATATTATATTGGCCCCTGTTATTTTCCTACTTCAATGCAGGAAGTTAAAAAAAAAAGAATAGGCTAGTTCACTAAAATTATTTTTTATTTATTTTTTCAAGGAGGACTTTCAAGTATTTCAAAAGTAAGGGTGCATAAAATTCTATTTTTAGTTGCTTCATCCATTTATAGCAATTTCAGGAATTACTGAAAGAGCCCATTGATATTATCATACACATTTGATTAAGTATTCAATAGTTTACTGGACATACAATATTCTATTCCACATTTTGGGAAAATTGAATTTCCCAGAATGGTCGGTTTATTGTGTGTTTCAACTATGACAAAAATCATCAATTATCTTAAGGTTTTTGTTACTTGCTGGAACATTTCAATAGTAGACATTTACTTATTCAAATAGACAATCTTGAGAATATACTGCTTGTGCCAGTAGGAAAGATCTTGAAGGCATATTTCTCATGTACAATTAAGGACATGAAAGATATTGTCGACACTTTTAATAAAGAACACTCAGTGGATGACATTTCAAGATCAGTGCTGACATTGGCTGGAAATGATCCGGTGCATAAATCAGTGGTGATTATGAATACATCTATTGATTGAAGTGAAGTACTTTATGTTGTAGTACCAGTTCAAAAAGTCAAGAACACTTATCAATGCAAAGAATTTCGTCCCATTATTCTGTTACCTAAAAGTGAAAAAATGTTTTTAATTGTATTTAAAAATCAATTGCTTCAACATTCAAAACCAGTCAGGATTTCGAGAGCGGAATCCTTGTGAGACAGCAATCCAATTAGTAGTTTCCAAATGGAAAGAACTGATCGACATTGACAAGGTGGTAGTCGCTGTATCTGTGGTGAATTTTTGAAGAGCCTTTAAGGCTATTTATACAGACAGACATTTTAGTATAATCATTCAAGAATTTGGTGTGGTGGATAAAGCGAATACATTGTTTCAGACTCATGAGATAATTCTTGATGTGGTAGAAGTAAAATGTGTGATGCTGTAAGAAAGTCTATTGGGTTGTTTATACTGTACATCAATGATGTGGTTGATTGCTGGATGGTGATATTACAGGAATTTTTTTCGCTGATGATTAATGTATCTGTAACAGTGGATTCAGAGTCTGAAGTAATGGATGACAGATTGAATGTAATATTGAAAAAGTTGGGAGTATGATTGGGTTGTTATATAGTCTGTCTATTTTTTATTGGCACACTTTTAGTCATTGATTTCCAAATCTGTCGCCAATTTTCGAGACCGTAGGAGCAAATTTTGTCCTATGGCCACTAAAGCGGTTTGAATGGTTTCTACGAATCTTACGCGGCTCTCCCAAAACTGGTCTATGCATCATATCTGTTTGAAGAGTTGTATATTACAAGGAAGAGTGGTTTTCAGCGAAATTTGCTCTTTTTTTATATATAATTTTATTTAGGAACTCAAAACAGTACATGTAGATGACTTGTACCGAGTCCTAGCCTTTATGTAACACAGAATTAAATATTTGAGGTTATATTACTTATATGTACAGGGTGTTTCCGAAAGGGTGTTACAAACTTCAAGGCCAGATACTTTTTATGAAAATAAGTGACAAAGTTCCTATGGATATAGGTCCGGAAATGCTTTGTTTCCAAGATACAGGGTGCTAAGTTTTTCAAAAAAATTTAGTTTTGCCCAAAAGAGCTTTGGCCGATTCCAATGAAAGTTTCACGGTTTAATTTAAATCATTATCAGACATCTACTGGAACAATTAGATTTGCTCCAGAATTTCCAGGCGCGTACCCAGCGACCAAGTCGGTTGCTTTTTTGCAGAAAAAAATATCACCCTGTCGTTTTTCTACGATTTTTATCAATTATTCAGATAAACCCATGAAAAATACAACATTATTGTCTTTTGTCTTTTTCAAGTATCTCGCTTCGTTTTCGCGGAAAAATTACAATACCATATAGTCCATTATCATAGGGTCCGCTCGCTTCGATCTCGTGCTAAGTTTAAAAATGCATTATTTTATGAAAATATGGGACTACTTGATTACCAAATGGTATGTTGGCATTTTTGTAAATTATTTTTTTTCCGAAAAACAGCCACTTCAAGATCATGGATGGAACAATTTTTTAAAAAATTCGTATATTCGTTATTAATTGATCAATTTTTTATTTCAAAAAAATGAATAACTTGGAAAAGTCTATATTTTAATAAAAAAAATGTTTCAACTACAAATATTTAATATCAAAAGAAAATTTCCACAAAAATTAAAAAAAACATATACTTTTTTTTTAAATTAGTTTTTTTTAACTATTTTTCTTTTTATAATTATAGATATATGCTGTGCCAGCGGTGTATAATAACAAGTGTTCCAAAATGACATTTGGCAATTTATTCTTGATAACATATTTGCGATCAATACATAAAAAAATCAATAACCTATACCCTGATACATTATTATGAATTGAACCCAATAATACGTGAAATAAATAAACTTCACATAAAATCTAATAATTTTACAAACATTCTCAATGGACATCAAATTCTGAAGACATTAGCAATAACATATATTTCTTTTGAAAGAACACAGAATAAGATTGATACAAAAATAAAAATTATTCCTCAGCCACAGAGAATCAAAAGAAATAAATTAATGACTTGGCTCAATATTCGAATCTCTTACTGGAAACCTGGACGCATCTGACGGAGAACGTTACGAGCACATCATTAGGGAATTACAAAACAATCAAAATAGTTCACAAGAAAATCTTCTGAAACAAAACTCGCTTTCTTTAAAAGTAATAGAAAAACTTAACCAAACTATTAAACAAATAAATCACAACGAAAAACTTCTAGAATAAAAAAATTAACCAAATTGCACATATTATGGTACAGAAGGCAGACATAATAAATCAAATACCTAGTGAATATCTATGAGATAATCGACTCTATTTTACAAGATATAGAAAATTCCTTAACTTTTTCAAAATTGAAAATCATGCATCCAGGTATTATAAAAACAAAAACTGAAGACTTTTATCATGAATTAAACAAACTACAACAGCGTTTAAGTTCTGAACAAATGCTCCTAGCGGTCACTTTGGAAAATACTTCACTTTTTGAAAAAATAATTTAACTGGAATCTTTTGTGTTTGATAATATAATAATATACCTAATACATAATATGTATACCAATAATGTATTCGGGCATTTTTGATAACTTTCAATTTATACTAGGTTCTCGGTTCCAATGCTTTCTCAGAGTCAGTTTAAGGTTGTCTTACCGCAAAATAAATTCTTGCTGAAAAATAAATTGCACTACACATACTTTGGTCAAGAATGTCAAGAAATTATTCCGAAATTCAATATTTGTGGAAGAGAAGACATCCACGAAATCCAAAGAGACAGCCCATGCAAAATTAAACTACTCCAATCTGACAAAAATACCTCCACCTGCGAACAAACCGAAGTTAAAGTCCCGCAAATTATCATCAATTGATTGGACGATTCCAGTCAATGGATATTGGTCGTTCCTGTCAAAGAAGCTATCCAATTCAAGTGCTTTTAACAAAAGAAAGTACAAAACATCATGGGAACATTTATGCTTCAAATACCAATTGGTTGCCAAGTGGCCACCGCTGATACCATGATGCCGATCCTCAATCTAAGTCGACATCTTAACTATTTGAAATTAGACGACCTTCACCAATTAAGCAAAGAAGAAATGGACATACGCCCACAACTGAGTTTCACCGAAATCAATAGAATACCCAGCCTTGGGACAATCCTTACATATTATGTCCTCATCGTTATTGCCTGCAAAGTAATCACTTTTAGCACCAGTGTCATAAAATGGCATTTTAGACACTGACAGCATCCGTTAAAAATGACACTTTTAATGACGTTTGTAGAAAAATATCTTTTTTTTTTTTAATTTTTGGGGACCATCCGCCATCTTGAAGTGGCTGTTTTTCGGAAAAAAATAATTTACAGAAATGCCAACATACCATTTGGTAATCTAGTAGTCCCATATTTTCATAAAATAAAGCATTTTCAAACTTAGCACGAGATCGAAGCGAGCGGCCGTTTTTGAGCCCCATGATAATAGACTAATACCTCGGCACGTCTCTGAACTCCATAAGAAAAAATAAAAATGCTTAGGAATTGATTAAAAATTTATCGCAGTTTGTTCATTTATGAAAACAAAACAAAAAAAACCTCATATCGCGAAAAGGAAGCGAGATAATTGAAAAATTCAAGAGACAAAAATGTTGTATTTTCAGTGTGTCTATCTGAATAATCAATAAAAATCGTATCTTAGAAACAAAGCGTTTCCGGACCTATATCCATAGGAACTTTTTAAATTATTTTTATGAATACTATCTGCCCTTGAAAATTGTAAGATCCTTTCGGAAATACCCTGTATAGTTATATATCTCTAACGGCTATTTGCACGGCTATAACTTAAGGGATACCTATTTAATCTAACTAAAACTATAAATGTGACTTTTGTAGAAACAAAAGACACATTCAAAGCTCCACCTAGATTGAATATCCCTTAAGTTATAGACGTGTAAATAGCCATAAGTAAACCAAATTCAAATAAACTTGAGAGCAATTCATAATTTCGGTGTATCAGCAGTACACGAAAGATAATATTTTTACAAACAAACGGGTTCTTCAAGCAAATAAAAAAAAGAGAAATAGGAAAGTTCCTGGTTCATAGACAGTTCTGAATCACAAATTTTTTTAAAGTCTTTTTTTAAATCCAAATGGAGTAGTTATTCTTCGTATATTTTCGGATATATTGTTGTATGTCATCATTGCTCTGTTTACTACACTCCTCCTTTCAATTTAAGTTCTCGATGATGTTATGTGGAGATTGCCACGCGGTCTAGTACAAATAACCATGTACTTATGTCAGAATTTTTTATAGGTTTGATATTTTTTGTCTTGACTTGACTGTGTATAATTTTTTTACAT